ATAATCCATGTGTTGAAGCTAGGCGAATCTTCAGCTCCATCGAGCGGACCCTTTCGGCTTGTTCGTGTGTTACGGCACGGGACGAAAATTTCGTGCCAACAAACGTCATCATTTAGGTAATAGCAAGTCTCTATCCCTGCTTACGTGTGAAAGTCTTCTATACACCTAAAAACGACAATTATGCAACCACAAAAAAATGTACACAAACATCATGATTATATATTTTCTGCTTCTAACCCTAGCAATGCAAACACTACTGGAATCTCTCTTTTTTCTGTGTGTGCGAACTCATAAGGTACTGCTCAATGGAAAGAGACAGCTGATTCTAGTAACAAGGACTGAAAAGCAGATGGATGGGGTGCCAAATCTGGTAACATGAGCAGCCAAAGAAACAATCCTGGGAGACCCCCAAGGAGACCGGATGAGAGGGGTCCACCTCCACCAAGACAACGGTTTGAACTAACAACAGAGGAGAAGAACATTCTTCTAGAAGTTGACCATCTCCAGAAATTTCACATTTGAAAGTATTACCTAAGTTTCACCTGGAGCAAAAGAACTCGAGAAATGGCTCAGATTTACCCATTATCAGCATGACAACTGCAACTTAATTTTACCTGGAGCTTAATTTAATTCTCTCTCTCTAATGGGAATTGAACTGGCCACAGAACCGGTTGCTTGTCTTTGGTACAAGCCATCCTAGTTAAGCGACAAAGCAGAACAAAATATCCCAAGTACCGACTCATAAGGTGCTAAAGTGTAGAAGTTCTCTAATGGAAACTTGATTCATCATGACCACTCAAGAGTAGTACAAAAAAAAAAAAAAAGTCACAAGGCATAGTTAGGGAAGGGGAGAAATGCGCTGCACGAGACCTGTCAAAATATCCCAAGTTACTTTCCCCACTCGCTTATCTCATTCGATGATTAAAGGATTTGCATCAATCGGTGAAGCCTAACAATTTGTGCATACTTAACAAGAAATGTACACTAAAAACAGTTTTCGAGAAGCAGATTAGTATGGAACTTGAAATAAGCATACTCTGAAACTCTAAAACATATCTATAGTGTTGTGCAAAACACTAAAATGGTCCTAAAGACATGTGTAAACAATGAATTAAGATTCATGCAAATAAATAGTTAAACAACAAGCTAGCCTCCCAAATCTTATCAAACCAAATATTTTTCATGTGCTATTGGAGAAATAAAGAATTCATGTTGATTTGCACATTACATACCCTTTGGCACATTACATACCCCAAACTCCATGAGCAACAATTAAATGACTTGGCATAATAATGCAGAGAAATCCTCGACCTCCAAAGTCTGGATCAAACATATTCTTGAGCAATAGGCATTCACTAGGTGGAGCCAAATCAATAGACGGGTAGTAATTGGAAGAGTTGCCCGTGAATTGAACCAAGACCGAGCCTTTGTAGGGTGCGAGAAGAGGAGCTGCACTGAGCAAGCACCAAGGACAGATCTGATTGGTATTACCTTTGGAGTACTCAAACCAAGCAAAGTGCCCATCCCGCCTTGATCAAACTGCAGAAACACAAAAGGTTGACGCGTCCATTGAGTAAGATACAAAGACACACAAAAGGGTAAATCTACTATAACAAAATTTAACTCAAGTTTCTTATGAAGCCAATCGTTGAAATTTGCATCAAACCTGGTAAGGATATTGTAACAAGTTTCCCCTCATATGTCAAGTTCAAACATCATTAATTCGCCATCCTGAAATTTGCGATCAAGTGCAACTAGCACTAAATACTAGAACTGCGCAGTAAACACTAAACAGAATATTTCAGCCAAACCACTTTACACCAAAGAACTAGAGGAGGTCCATGGAGAATGACCTTGATAAGCTAGATATATATGGAAAGCAGCTGTTCTGTCAGAGTGGTGGTTGAATCCCGGCGATAATATAGTAGAGGTCAATAATGGGAGATGTGGGTACAAATGATGGCACTGGTACAAGCAAGCAAGATAATGGAATTCTAAATGAAATGAAGTCTCTGCGAGTGCCACAAAAAAATCAAATTATGGAGGAATAGTCCATTCAGCACCTCAAGAATTAAAATGTGCAGCTCGCCACCAATTAATTAACAAATAAATAAATATGCTCCAAATAATAGAACTATACTAAATATTTTTTAAGAGTTATACTTATCAAAATGTCTGGAAGATTATTATGCAATCAACTAAAAAAAGGTACCTGGTTGTAATGCCACTGCGGTCCAATTTCTGCATTAGAAGAGCTCTGGAATTGGCATTCAGTGCCTGCAGGGACCACACAACAAACATAATGTTATAGATAATATGTACGAACACCTATTTTTGTATAAGACTAAGTAGGCTCGTTTTAAAGAGTCATGAAAAGACCAAAAGGACTTGGGCACACTTTTTATGTATGTAAAACCAAAAGAGAGTCTGCTTGGAATGTTAGCTTTACAAAGGAATGCAACTCCCAATTCTTAATAGAAGCAATGCTTAGCTATTCTGATAGTGTCAACATTGAATGACAAAATAGCATGCAAACAAAAACATACTAATAATATTCAATAAAAATTGAGACTAGTTGAAACCCACCAAGCCTCCACCATCATCATCATCCAAATCTCCTGTAGCTCCACTAACTTGCACGCCTGTTTGGTCTGTCACAACTGAAACCTGGCCGACAAGTGTTTACCATAATGTCAGACAACTGAGCTCAAATAGGAACACAAGATGAATGCTGGTAACTCCCAACAATATTTTTACCTTGATTACTCTTCCAGCAATCTCAAGTTGCCCATTCAAACTCTGAGCCGCTTTTGCATCTTCAAGACGTACAAACTAAATGATGAAATAGAAATGGTGAGAATTAAGCACCAACAGAAACAGGAATTTCTTCATGGAGAAATACTAACCTGCACAAAACCAAAACCTTTGCATAGCCCAGTGAGAGGATCCAATGGCAACTGGACAAGCTCCACTTGTCCAAATGGTTCAAAGACCTGGCAAGATCATTTTCAATAATATGAACAATCAAGAGAATTTGCTCCAAACACAGAAAAATTCTACATAATAATGTGTAGAGTATGGACCTGTGTATTGGGTGCAGAAGCATGACTACTGAACAACGGCCTAGCTTTGCAGGTGAAAAAAAATCCTAGAGAAGCTAGGTGGCTATTACAGAAGCATGACTGAAATACGGCCTAGCTTTGAAAGTTGTCATAAAACATAGTTTTGCAATTCAGTTAACCAAATCAACTTGGATTATAATTCCTGGCCGATAAAAACATGCTTTAAAATGTTGGTATTTGGTAAAAAAAATGTATTAGTCAAATACTGAAAATAGGATAGTACAAATTTTTCAACATGTATTGCTCTGGTAAAAAAATCAGTACTAGTTATATTAACAAAATTCAATCCACATCCTACAGCATACACATGGGATTAGATCAGATCTGTTCTGAATACACATAACCAAATAGCTTAAATTAGGGTTCGTTCTCAAATTTGCACAAAAGGGAAGAGAAGGAACATGCATACCTGGCTTGTGTTGTGGGTGCTTGTCGTTGGCAAAGGGCTCACCTTGGCCCTTTGGAAGGAGGTTGCACTCGGAGCTGCAATCGCCTGATGTGGTTGCGCTTGAGCCGAGATCTGGGACGTCGGGCTGAGAAGGGGCTCCAGATCCACCATGCTCGGGAGGGCCCGCACGCCGTTAAGGCTGTGCTCGGGAGGGACGGCGCACCGTGAGGGACGCGCCCAGGAGGGCCGTGTCCGGGAGGGGCGGTGCGCTGGGGGGAGGCGCCTAGAGAGCCACGCCTAGGAGGGGCAGCCTTTGAGAGGGAGGGGCGCTGGAGGGACGACCTGCAGCGTGAGCCGTCTGACGAGGGGCTGCGCCCAAGCGCGGGAGGGGCAGTGAGCTGGGGCGATGAGAAGAGAGCTGGCGGCGGATGGGTGGAGGAGGGTTGCGGGGGTGAATGCGGAGGATACGAGGCTTCGGCCGTGGAGATTTAAGTTTAGGATTATTTTCCTGTGCATATGTAACTTTAATCTGTGGGTAATATAGAAACCTACAGAATAATTGATATTTTTCTGTGTGTGTAAATTGTTTTTCTGTGCATTTTAAAAACACTCACAGAATAATTTTATTTTTTCTGTGTGTACTCTCACGCACAGAAAAATGATATAATTACCCTGTGGGTTTTCGTATTTTTCTGTCGGTATATTTTGGAACCGACAGAAAAATTACAATTTTTCTATGTGTGCCGAAAAAAACGCACAGAAAAATTCATCGTCCACATAAATATTCTAAGTTTCCAGTAGTGAAACGATCAACCTGCCATTATCTATCCATTTTTTTCACTTTTCATGCATATATCAACCATTATTTTACCAAGTCGTTGTTTGTGTATCCATCCATGACTTGTAAATATTGCTCACCATTTTACTTTTGGCACCGCTCGATCGAGAGATTTCACCTAGTGTTGCCGTGGCGGTTTGGTGTGGGCTTTGCAACTAGACAAATGGCGTGCATCACGTTGCCTTGCCTTGCCACCGATGGAGCACCACACCGATGCAAGCAAAGCCGCGGCGGCCATTATCACGTATAGCCGCGCGCTTTGGTTTGCGATCTTATGGATATCGTCACTATCCCTTGGCTCGCGGACGCGGCCGAGTCCGTTGCAGTTGCAGCTAGCCCAATGCAATGCGCGCGCGGCGCGCTGGACGCACTCTTGCGGCAGGCTGAACCGGGGGCGGGCGGCGAACACAGCCCGCCGAACGCCCCGCTATCGATATGGCAAGCTATCGATATGGCATATTTGGCATGGAGCTAATGCACAGGGCGGCCAGTCGAAACACGAGGAGGGAGCGGCGTGTCGCCGGCCGTGGCTTGAGCCCTTATAGGAGTCTTAAAAAAACGCAGTCGAACCCTGGCAGCACATTCACATCGCCGGCAGCCGCTGCACATCCATCCATCCGGCAGGGGGCGATCGAATTCAGATCTCGCGAGGATGCAAGGCGGCGGAAGCATCATCGAGCTCGCGAGGAAGGCGGCGGCCTTGGCGAGGACCGAGAGAGTGGCGCGGCTGGCGGCCATGCGTCCGGTGCGGAACTACCGCGGCGTCCAGCAGCGCAAAAACAGGTACTACTCCGTGATCCGGAACATCCACACCCGGCGCCTGGTGTGGCTCGGGTCGTACAAGACCCCCGAGGAGGCCGCGTACGCGTGGGACGCCGCCGCGAGGGTGACGCGCGGGCACTGGGCCAAGCCCAACTTCCCCGAGCCGGCCTGGGCGCGTGCGGCGTGCGCTCCGGAGGAGGTGTCCACGGAGCTCGTGCTCGGGCTGCCGACGCCCGCTGCGCCGGCGCGCCGCCGCGAGCCTTCTGCGGCGGTGGCGGCTCAGGTGTCCTTCGACAACTGGCTGCTGTCTGCATCGGCGGCCGCGGAAGAGCCACAGCGTCAGCAGGGTGCACCGGCGGTGGTGCCCCCACACCAGCAACAAGGCACGGCGCCGGCACTGCCACCGTTCACACAGTTTTTCCACCTTTCAGGTCCCGCCACTGCTGCAGCCGCCACCAATGGCGGCGCCGCTGTCGTCAATCCTTCCAAGTCCAACCCGGGCGCCTGTGTTTTGACACCGCAGAACGTGCAGATGCCGCCCACCAATCCGGCGAGCACCGTACTAAGCAGCACCGAGCCCATCGTCCTGGCCTCGCAGTTCCTTCCCGCTGCCGCCCCTACCCACCACCGCGAGCTGCCGGTGTCGCAGGCCGGCGTGTCTGATCTGGCCGTCGTCGGGGATAACTTCACCCACGACGGTGCGTCCACGTCTGCTGCACCTCCTCCAGTGCCTCGGCTCACTCCCAAGGATCTGCTGCTCCAAATCGGTCTGCCTGGTCGCGGCGGCCCGGGTGGGGCGCAGTAAGGAGGCTGAAGCTGCGTCAGGTGCCGAGGGGCTGCCGGCGATCAACTGCGATTATCTCATGCGGTTCCTTCGAGTACTGGACATGTGATCTTACCGTCTACTATCCGTGATGATTATGTATGTTTTTCTATTCCAGAATTCGAAAACAATGTGTATGTATTATCGATTTAACTGGACTTGTGATGCCTCCTGACCGTGTGCTTGGGTCAGTATGTATTGTTCTGTAGTAGTTTGTAACTTGTTTCAGTTTCCCTGTGCTGTGAGCAAAGAACAAAAAAATGTTGGCTGAAGTAAGGTTCTATTTGATACGGCTTCGTCCGGTTCTAGCTCCTTTCTACAGTGTGTGAAGGAGTCAGAGCTCCACTGAACAGGGCCTAAGTAGTCTTGAATCCAGATCTCAAGTTTCGTCACCATGCATGTGTTTTGTTTACAGTTAATCATATTGCTATTTATTAGTGATCTCATTATGTTTATGCTGGTTACTTATTTTTGGGAATTTGGGAGATCTTTCCTTCAACAAGAGACAAGATCGAAAACATTTTCATAGTCGTTTTGGAACTACAACTGCAAGGATAAGATCGATTCTAATAATCAATGACTATACTTGTATTGCAAAATCCAACGAATTGAAATTAATGTGTGCATCACAGTAAGTTTGATACAAAGACTAATTACTAATCAAGGTATATAATTGGCTTTCAAAACAAAGAGGATGTAACTGTGTACCCCCTCTATTTAGGAAAACCTAAAAAGGTATAACGGTCGATTTGGTATCTAAACCCCGACTACGGTATATCCATACTGTCTAATTGTGACGTTATGTTATTCTATAATACCGACCTTTCCATTTTGCTCCTTACTGTGTCAAATTATATAACCAACTGACCTAATTAGGTCCTATAGTCCGCTTTAATTCGATATCAAACAAGCTTACTTATACAAGGAGTGAAACTTATCACATCCTTAGTTAGATTAGGCCTTGTATAGCTTTAACAAGCCAGCCATCGCCATCACGTCCCCTTCTTCCTCCCATTCTACGACTACTTCAGGTCTACTATGGGGCTTTGGAGTTGAGGCCGTGCTTGGAGAGGGAGGCAACAATAACAATCAACTTGGTTTTGTGAAGGAGTTAGCATGCCACAATGGAGGTATTATGGTTGGCCGGTGGTGGTCGGACTTGAGGAAGAAGGTGATTTTCAAGGTGATCTAATACTCCTTGGTCTTGGTAGCCCTCCCAAAATGGAATGTTAGATATACACCGGTGTATGTTTTCATACTAATTTGTGTTTGTGACTTGTGATATTGGTTGATCTATATGTTGAATTTTATTTTGTGTGTACCATGGTCCCATTTCATATTTCAAAGTGGTTCTCACTTCTCACCATGAAAATAATTATCAGCGGTCCATTGACAATGAAGGTCAAAGGCGATAGTTGATGGCAAATACCAGCGATAGTCGAAGGTAGTGATAGATGAGTGCCAAACTGTCAGCGTGGTCAGGTGTTGCAAGCAACTAGCATAAGGATCTGACGAACCTCATATGTTCCTTCTGGACCTGAGGGTGTTGAGTCTTCAGATTAGAGGGTTAAACCTTTGGATCCTGGAGACCCTGCTTTAGTTGCCCGCCAACTTTTAAATGTTCTTTTCTCATCATGACAGTGATCATTGGAGGAAGGTCAAAGGAGATGGACGTTGGAAAATACCAATGGTGGATGATTGTAGAGTTAGATGAGTACTAGATGGTTGGTGTGGTTGGGGGTTGCTTGCAACTAGCATAATATAAGGACCACATAAACCTCGTTTGTTCCTTCTAGAGTTGGGAGGGACATTGAGTTAAGAGGGTTCATTCTTTGGATCCTTGAGGCCCTACCCTCTAGTTGTTCTTGAACATTCAATACTGGTTTCTCAATGTGACAACGACTAGAGGCAAAGGAGCCGTGGCCATTGGTAGAGGCTTAAGAAGATCTCGGACTGGCCTGTTCCCTTCCACTACTAGAGAGAGGAGCAATCCTGTCGGCTACAGTTATATTCCTGATAGTTTCCTAGAAACCGATCGGAAAGTAGTATAACTCATATCAGTTGCCAAATCCCAATGGGAACCAAGAAGGAAATTCCTATCGGTTTGGGAATCCGTTTCAAAAACCGACGGGCTTCAGATTCCTGACGGGCATCAGAAACCGACAGGAATCCGTTTCTACCCGGCATGTAGTGCGAAAACTAAAATGCGCGCAGGAAAAAACGGAGAGTGGCGCACATATGTCCCGCTATATTTTCATGGGTCCACTTCTAGATTGAGATACGAAATAAAAGAAAATCCCAAACCCTAGCAAAATCTCCCCAACCCCATGCTGCCTCCCACGCCTGTCGCAGCCGCCCCCAACGCGCCCCGACCATCGTGGGCTGCCCCTTTGCCTCCCCACTCTCATCGTGGGATGCCCCTCCATTCGAGCCCCGGGCACTGCGGCCGGTTCCTCCCTCCGCGCCCCGGCCGCCGCAGCCAGCTCGTCCGTGTTGCGCCCCGGCTGCCGTGGCTCCTCAACCAGGAGCTTGGGATATGTGTCGAGTTCTTGTATAAAAGAAGGTCCAACCTTTTGATACTAGAGGCCTTGCTCTAGTTGTCCTCCAATTCAAGATGAGAATTGAGCATCAATTCTGATTTTGTTTCCATCTGCATCCAAAATTCAAAGAAGCCAAATCTAGGTTCCCCAAATTTTGTTCCCAAATTCTTGCCAGATTTAGCAAACTTAATAGGGCCTAAGGCTATAGTTATTACTCCTTCCATCCATCAATGTCAAGCATATATATATTTATAAGGAAATAATTTAGAATTTGATTTTATATTTTAATTTGTCTTCCAGTATATATATAATGTCAATTATTAATGAACATCATCATAAAATTCATCCGGATGGGAATTGCAAGTAGGACCTAAAAAAATAAGGTGACCTCTTGTTTAGAGGAAAAAATAGGGATGACCTTCACCAATTCACAATAGCAAAGGCAAGTTTCCATGCCATTATCTTGTGTGCTTCCCGTGTATTACTTGTACTACTAATCACTACCGGAAACAGAAGAATTGCCGAGTGCCTGATAGTTTGCCGAGTGCATTCCATCGGGCACTCGGCAAACATCCACTTTACCAAGTGTATTTAGTGAAACACTCGGCAAACACATAGCATTCGGCAAAAGCAAACTTTGCCGAGTGCCTAATATAAAACACTCGGCAAAATACAAAAAAACTCTCGGCAACCACGGACACTCGGCAAAATGGGTCACGTCTTGCTTTGGGCGCAAGCGGTGCCATCGACGGCCGTTAGGTGTGCGCTTCTCGCCATTAGAACTTTGCCGAGTGTCCGTTAGAGACACTCGGCAAAGACAAGGTATGCCGTGTGTTTTTTCTTGACACTCGGAAAATTAATAATTTTGCAGAGTGTTTTTTGTTTACACTCGGCAAAGTAATGTTGTTGCCGAGTGTTTTTTAATGGCACTCGGCAAAATAATAATTTTTTTTCACTCCTGCCCTCCAAACTTTTTCTACTGTCCACATACAACATGTGGTACTACATATTAAAATTTGATATATTTCTCCTTCAGTTTGCTATATTTAAGTAATTTATTGTATTTAGAGGAATTTTTTGGTTTAAGTCAAATTTGAACTGCAAGTGATACAAATAATGGAATAAATTGAGTGGAGAAATCATGTTCATGTTATTGAGTCCATTTTGGGGCCTTACTCGGGAAATGAAAAGAATTTTCGAACATTTTTATTCAGGAAACACGTCCACGAACGTGTGGCCGAATGATTTTTAAATTCTAAAAAAAGCAAACGAAGTCTGAAAATGACGAGATTTGTCAAGATCTCCTAATATCATATATGGAGAATGTGAAAAAAAATTGAGAAGGTTTCGCACAATTTGTCACGTATGACCTTTACAAACAAAAGCATATCTGTACAAAAATCGTAGCGCTTAGAAGGATTCGGTAAGATTTGGAGTCAAAGTGACGGTCGAATCAGGGTTTGACTTCAAAACTTTTTGTATAGGTAATAGACAACATAGATTGGTTCACGTCAAATTTTGGTAAATTTTCAGATCCGTTTGATAATTTTAATTTATTAACAGCAATTATAGAATTTTAATTGATATATATTGAATTTGAGCTATAACTGCATGAAATAATGGATTAATATTTGTAGAAAAATCAAATATGCATTGTTGAGTGAATTTGACAAGGTATTTTTAAATTACATCGTAACAAATTTAGTAGAACACGCTATGAAGAAGGAGGATGGTGGAGCATAAAATATTGATTTATTTTGCCGAGTGTTTTGCACCTGACACTCGGCGAAAAGAACAGTTGCCGAGTGTCATATAGGAGACACTAGGCAAATTCGTCGACCGGGCCCACTGCACAGTATCGGGCCGTAATGAAACATTTTAAAAAGATCTTGGCACAGATCTTGCACTCGGCATACTCCTTCAAAAAACCCACGGTTAAGCGCCCGGCCCTCACCCGTGGCACACACAACCGCCACGACGCCCCCCACCCCAGCCCGCCCCCTCCCCCGCCCCCGCCGCCCCGCCGCCTCACGCCGACATTAAAACATTACGTGTTCTACGCGCCCCGCCGCCCCGCCACCTCCCGCCCTACCGCGCCCGCCTGCCGCCGCCCTCGGCGCCCGCGCCCGCCCAGCGCCGCCCGCCCCCGGGGCGTCCCGCCCCCAGCGCCGCCCGCCCTCGGTGCCCCGCCCCGCCCCCGGCACCACCCGCCCTCGGCGTGTCCCGCCCCTGGTGCCCCGCCCTGCCCGCGATTGCGAAGCCGTCGGACGACCTCGCCAGGCCACCGCCACCGCGACGCACCGACGCCCGTTCCCGCCACGTCGCCACACTTCTCCGGTGAGGAGAACAACCAGGTGTGCCAACCCCTTCTCTTCCCTTCCTGCTGTGCGCACATGTATTATGCCTGCTAACTTCGATTCCTTCCAAAGATTATCATGCATA